GCCCCCCCCAAACTCCCCTCCCATTTTAATTTGATAAAATCCTGAATGAATTCCTGGCGGAGACACGTTTAGCAATTATCCCAGGTGGCGACACTTGGGTTTATTTATTTATTTTTTTTATTTATCTGCTGCTTTCTTTATTTTTTTTCTCCGCAGAGATCGCCCCAAACTACGAGTTTTACAAGAACGCCGACGTCAGGCCGCCGTTTACTTATGCAACCCTCATCAGGCAGGTGAGTGGGAAATAAATTAGCTTTAGCCTGATTAGATTGTAATTAATTGCTGCTTGAATTAAATCTGGGTGAGAGCGTCTCGACGTACTCCAGTTTCTAACGTGCCGCTTAATGGCATCTCATCGCAGGCCGTCATGGAGTCAGGTGACATGCAGCTAACGCTCAACGAAATCTACAGCTGGTTCACGCGCACCTTCGCCTACTTCAGACGCAATGCCGCCACCTGGAAGGTAATGTGCTACGGAGGCCTGCAAGGGACGTGGGCCGATTAACAGCAATCGCGCCTCTTTTTAACCTGCCTCCTGAAAAGGACGAATTCTCTCTTTATCTCGCTCTTGCTCACTCTCTCTGTGACAAGTGAAAGAATAATTCAGCCTCTGATATCGTTTTCTAATTTGGTGCAATTAATAGCCGAGTCTTGACGGGGAGGTGTGCGCTCTGACGCACTAATTACTAACCAGCCACTCAATCATCAGCACCTTTTGTTAGACATGGCGTATTACCGCTTTCTCAGTGTCTCCTTTTCATTTTTTCTCCCTCCCCACCCTGCATATTATTGGTTAATTAATTTGAAAGATGGCTGTTTGCCATGTAGACGCACTCCGCTACATCCCTTTTCTTGTTGTTGTTGATGTCGGCCGAGGCTTCGTACACACTATAACTCATGCAGCAAGACAAAAAGCAAAAGAGAACAAGACAAATGGAGAGAGGGGTTAAGACCCGCTTGGCTCTAAAGCGCTAATGCACCCGTCATCCAGGAAACACACTTTATTTCTCAGTACAAAAGGCCTCATTTGTATCTCTGTCCCAACAAATACATTGTCAGACGGGATGAAAAGAAAAGGAGGATACAATAAAAACCATCCTCTATTTTTAGACAGGAGAGCGCGGTGCGTGTCGATAAGATACACAGCCGGTTTTCCCTTTCTATTTTAACTCCGACGCAGGTCCTCTCAAAGGTTTCTCCAGCTCTCATCAGCATGCGAAGCATTTCCCAGCAATAGATTTAGCAAAGTGAATTAATTTGGATTTGGCTTGCTAATGATGCTGGTGTATGATTACAGCTCCACAAGGGTGTGCAATAGCTCCCCGTACAGATACATGCTGGGCCACGACTCATTTACTGCCGGAGCGTGTGTTTGGAGATGCACGGATGAGCGTTTTTAGCCATTTTATGGCCTTGTAGCCGCATATGCATCCCTGTTTCCAGCTCTCTTCGCTTCTGTCCTTATCAACTCCATATTTTAATCTGGTCCCGACTGGAACAAAGAGGCAAAGCAGGGGCTTTCGGCATATTCGGGTCCCTCCTTCTACAATAGCGGAGCAGGAATTTCCATTCGGAGCCTCCCTGCTCTTTTGTGAGGGCCTGGGCACGGCCGGCTGGTGACGGGCTTGTCATTTGATTAACAGAGAGAATTTTTAAAAAGGAATGAAAGGTGATTTAATATCTGTGCTTGGTCTCATCAGCTCAGCTTGGGGATCGAGCTCTCAGCCCCGCCAGCTTATTAGTTATAACTATATAGCATGCATAATAAAAATGCTCATTTGCTCATTAATATTAAAATTATCATATTCAGAGCCATGGGCATTAAGATCAATCAAATCCTGGGATTTTCAGGTCAGATGCGAGATCTGCTTATGAGGGGTTTTTTTTATTTTTTATTCCTCTCTCTCCCTTTTCTTAGAGCAAAAAAACACCCGCCCCTCAAATAAAACATGAAAAAAAATGTAATATGAGCAAAGGTTATTATTTGGCTTCTTTGCTACATGTTTTAATTAGATTCTTTTATGGCGACGTACAATACTCGCCATATTTCTTTATTTTTTATTCATGCTTCTTGATTATGAAAGAGTGTTTATGGGTCATTTTGATCAATTGAATAAATATATTTTTGGAATTTTAATTATTGCTTGATTTTCTTTTTTCCTTTTCATTTATAAACCCGAAGCATCTACATTTCCTAATTATTACAGCCATTAATCTTTAAATAACTGTCATAATTTAAATAACTGCCATAATATGTTAGAACAACAATAGTGCTTAGCAGTAGATAATAGTCTGTGATATGATTGGTTCATATTTTTCGTCAGCTATGAGGCCTTGATTACACCAGCAGAAAGCTTTAAAAAATTATACTTTTTTTTGAAAAAAAATGCACTGATAAATCATGCATAGTAAATACACTTATTGAAGTATATGCATTATTCAAATTTTTTTGTATATATGCATGTTTAACAGAACGCAGTGCGACACAACCTCAGCCTGCACAAGTGTTTCGTCCGAGTGGAGAACGTAAAGGGCGCCGTGTGGACTGTGGATGAAATGGAATATCAGAAACGCAGATCTCAGAAGATAACAGGGTACACACACACACACAAACACACTATAATTGTTTTTCAGATGCTATTACAGTCAGATTAATAGAAATATAATTCAACATTTGTGTTGTTGTGTTCAGGAGCCCAACGCTGGTCAAGAACCTGCCATCCAGTCTGGGTTATGGGGCAGCTCTCAACGCCAGCTTACAGGTAATGTGTGTGTGTGTGTGTGTGTGTGTGTGAGGTTGGCACAGTCAGTGAGAGTCTAGAAGGACACCGTGTGGTAGAGGCAGGTACCTTCTCTGCCAGCCTGGCCTCAGATTGATAGCAGCCTGTGCAAATGCGAGGGCATAATCATTAATATTTATCTAAACTGTCATAAATGATTTGGCTTCGCAGTGTCGGCCAGCGAGGTGCTCGTGGCAAAAACTTTAAAATTTAATTACTGTATATAACTTTAATGTGCAGGAGGCAAAAATGTCATGAGTCTTTTTTTTTCTTTGACTGTTTTGAGGTAAAGTTTTGGATGGTTTCATTATCATGTGGATGCTCGGGCTTTCTTTATTCGCTGTTCGTTTGAGGCCTGTCTTGTAAGGTGAAGAGATTGTTTTTGCAACTTCGAAACTTTCCCGTTGTTTTTTTTCCTGCCACTTTGTGGCAGTTCTCATCTGTTTTTATCATACTGATTCTTCAGCAATAATTTGGAAGTAACTCGATAAAAAAGAGGAGATAATCTGGAACGAGCTGGAAGCCGTGCGCTATGACATGCCGACTGCTGAAAAGGCTTGAAAATGCTTGAGTATAACTATTCCCTCTCGCTCTCTCTTTCTCTCGTAGGCTGCGTTGGCGGAGACCTCTTTGCCGCTGCTGGGTAATCCAGGCTTGATGAATAGCGCGTCAGGTATGATGGGGGCGAGTCCTCCAGGACTGATGAGCGGCAGCCCGACCGGCCTATTACAGGGCAGCATGCATGAAGATCTCAACGGCACACTAGATCACCTGGACACTAACGGACACAGCAGTCCCGGATACTCCCCACACACCCAACTGTGAGTTCACACACATATACACGTGCATTTAGACATAAAATGGCACATTTAAAGTCTGTAATGTGACGTGTTTACAAAATATTCAGCAGGGCTTGATTTCATCCAACAGGATTTGATTGGATCATGAAAAAGGGCTATTTTATTAGCTAATATTGCTAATACTATCAATATTAATATTATATAATTTTTTTTTAATCATGAGGTACACCAGCATATGGTATATGGGGTCAATTTTATGATTTTATGATTGATTTTATTTTGCATTTAACATCCTAAAATAACTAATTATTATAGAAATAAAATAGAAATAATTATTTATATTATTTATAAAAAATATATACACAATTATTTAAGTTCTTTCATATTTTTAGCACTGATTCTGCAGTGGTATGAGTATTCACAAGGATCCTAAATTGTTTAAATTAAATTCACTCATTTCTAAATTCATTCCTAAATTGCCTTTAAAACTAAATTCGCTCAATTCACTAAACTTACTCATTGTTTATCCAGTTTCATTCTAAAATATGTCATTTCATGGAAATAAAATGGGTTGCAAACTGCTCATTAACTGCTTCGATTTTGAGGGATGCTGTGGAGTCATTATAGTTTAACAATAATAAAATAAAGTTAATGTTGATGTTGATGTTATTTAAAAAATATAAAATGTTAAGGGAAGATGTTTGAAAATTATAGCAAAAAGTATTTTTTTGTGCCAAAAAAATTGAATATTGTACTTTCGCAATAATAAAAGAATTATTTATTAATTATAAAAAATATATATATTTTTTTTTTTTTCAGATTTTTTTTGCATTGAACTAGCAGTGGTATAAGTATTCACAAGGTTCATAAATTACATTTAAATTACATATGCATACAAAAAAAATAAAATAAATTTAGACCTGAAGGTTAAGTGTACATTTGGTTCTTGGATATAAATAGGTAAGAAGTGAAGGCTGCCATAATTATAGATTCCCTTGTAATTACCCCACTGTCCGAATCGCAGAGGTTTAGATGTTATATTTTATGCAAGACCGTTCCTATTAATATTTAGCAGCTAACTATATCATTAATTACTTTAAAATCTTTGCCTTTCCATCTTTTTTAATGGCTCACAGAGAGAAAGAAGGAGACAGAGAGAGAGAGCACAGGCTGATGAAAGATTAATGCGGTGCCGGTCGGAGGAATGGTGATATAGAACATGTGCTCGCCCTAATCAGTGATGTCACTCATGCTGGATGGCTGTGTTTACCGAGCCAAAGATAGTAGCACGAGCGTTAAGGGCAGCGGGAAGCGTGTCGCACGCCATCAGACCTGCACACGCTCACATTTCATGCATTTTCATGCACAGAGTTGCTAATGCTAACCCAAAGACCCTATTAGCTAAAAAACACACTGTGCGCTCTGGAAATGTGTGTTAATAGAAGTGTGTTTGATTCAGAAGTGGGACAGTAGTGTGAAGTGGGCCAAATCTGAGATCCAGACAGAATCCCTGTGTATTCACTCCCTCAGGTTATTTAACTTTTAATAACGGACCTTTAAGTCTGGTGTTTTTAGACCCCCCTCTCTCTCTTTCTGCCTGTCCGTCTGTCATATTTTCTTTCTTTCTGGACTGAAGCGTTAAGACATAAATGCTCAATAAAGGTGAAGTCCCTGTTACATGACCTCTACATGCTCAAAATGGAAGAAATATGTTACGCGAGTGGCTTTTTCGGGGCTGCATTTAATAATGAAGAGGCTAAAGAGCACAACATATTCACATTTTGTCTCCTGAGAAACAGAACAATTAGACTAACCTTTCTCTGAACATGTTGCATTAATGGCATCTGTCTGACTAGATGTGTGTGTATGAGCACATGTATGAGGAAAAAAATTTAATTGTTTGCTTTCATGCATGCATACAAAGATAATCTTAAATTTTTTCAATATGAAATAAAACTTAATCATTGTTATTTTTTTAAATGCACTTTATATCAAGTGAATTTTCAATGGATTATGTTAATTTTACTTACTGTTTATCCATCGCTTACTGCTTACTCTGAAATATGTCACTTTATGAAAGTAAAATTGGTTAAATATTTCTCATTTCCCTTGATTTATTTAAGGAATTGTGTGCAATCATTATTGCAAAAAATGTTTTGTGCCAAAAAGGAAAAAAAAACTTCAATATTAATGTTTAGCAGTAATTATTCATAATTCAGAATATATATATATATATATATATATATATATATATATATATAAAGAATAAATATAAATATTTCATCACTGTGCTGCAACTGACCAATCAGAATCAAGCATTCCAGAGAACCATGTAATACAACTTTTTAAACACTATTAAACCCACACACTTGCACAAACATGCTTGAAATTGGTAGTGTTTGCAGTCATAGTTGTCTCTGATCGTTTGGGGCATGGGAAGCGTCTTTGCTCAAGCGCTGTGCCAGTGTCTACAGACACACACACAGACTGGCACAGACTCCGGCTCCAGATTTTCTCATGCCAGCCTCTCATTAAACACAAAATGACTCATCCTGACATCTTAATACAGTGGAGAAAGGACGGCAAGGACTAATCATTTCTCTCTTCCTCTCTCCTTCCTCTTCCGACCTCACAAGCATGCCGCTGATTTATAATTAATGCAAATGAAAGCTGTAAGCCATGCTTCTTCACATTAGGAGTAAAGGCCTGTGTCGAGCTTAATGGAACGTCGGACCGACCGGGATCATTTGTCTCGCCGTAATATCTTTAAGTATATCTGTTTGTTATTGTACGATAAATGTGGCCTGTGGAACGTTAGGTGAGCGTTGACGGTCAGCGGTGTCTTTTATAGCCCTATCAAACATTATTATGACAAAATGGATGTTTACTAACATTATAGCTTCAGTTTTATGGCTCTAGTGTCAGTAAAATGATAAGACCTAATAAAAACATGGTGAATTACAATGACAAATATCTTTTTAATCACAGGTGAACATTCTATGTACTACTTTTTGATACCAAAATAGATTGTAGCATCATTGTTATGGCTGAGATTGCAGAGAAATGATGAGAATGAACAATTTACATAAACAAAAATGCAAAAATTACAGTTACAAAAACTGCATAAAATTCTGGCAAAGAAAAACTATAGACAAATTAAACTAAACTATAGACAAATTAAAGCAGAAAATTAAGACCAATTAAAATGACAAAAACTTATGCAATCACAGGTGATTGCATTAAATCCCAAAATGATGTTGTTTGAAGACTAAAGCTTGATTATTTGTTGCTACATAATATCCTTAAGTGTATATCAGTTTGTATATAAATGCGGCAGGTGGAAAGTTACACTATTTTTTGATGGCAAAATAGATGTCTATGAACATTTTAGCATTATTATCATTGTAAAAATGGCAGAGAGTGAATTTATGCAAATGATAAAGTTGCAAAAATTACACAATTGTATAAAATTGCAACAAAGTTGTAAAACTACAAGAAAGAACTTTAGCGATGAGCAGTGACAGTCAGAAAACGTCTTTTATAGCACCATTTTGTTACAATGACAAAATAGATGATTGCAAACATTATACCAATGTTTTTATGGCTAACATGCCTGTTAAATGATAAGAACGAATGAAAATTCCAATAACGAATTCCATAAACCTATGAAAATTATGTGAAACTGTCAAATTAGTAAAAAGAAATATAACTAGTAATGGCCGATGGACATTTCAACGAGAGCGTATCTTTACTCAAGGTTACATTGTCTGACGACCAAATGCCATTGTGCTTGAATTAATTGCTTTAATAAAGGAAGGAGAACTTTTTAATTTGCATTCACAGGTATTTCTTGAGGGTGTGAAATTTATCATTGTGGCGGTCCGGCGTAGTCGCCCCCTTTCTCTCCAGCGCACGTAGCTGAGTACAGGAGACAGAAACATCCCGGCGCTTCCATATCTGAATATTAATCTATTTTGCTATAAATATTAAAGTAATCTGTACCTTTTAAAATTCTTTTCATATTCAAAGTTCCCCGTGCCATTGATGAGCGCGACCCAGGAGAGAGCAGCCAGACATGGCCTAATACAGAGACTAGTTGATAAGGATTCCTCTCTCTCTCTCTCTCTCTCTCTCTCTCTCTCTCTCTCCAGTCCAGTGGGATTTCCTGATGCATCCGACGTGTCAGAAATAATTAGGTTTTGTCAGATTTATCATGGGTAGCACAAACCTCTCTCCCTGCCAAGGGCTCGAGATCATGTTAAGCCTTGTTTGTGTATGACAGAGTTATTATTCTTGTTAGTAACCCTACTTCCGCCCTCGTTTCGGCATCTCGCTGCTCCTCGCCAAACCGCTCCGAGTTTTTTCACCATTTTTTTACCCTCCTCCCTACATTTATTGACAGTCGGTAAAGATATTCATCCATTTGGAGTTAAAAACATGGATCATGGTGTCCGAGGCAACTGGCAGTCTGAAGTTGATTAATGGTGGAGTCTAGCTGCAGGTTGTCTCCTCACTTGAGAAGTGCCACCACGGCCCCTGCATATTAACGAAGGCCTGCACTTTCTATTAACAAGATAAAAAAAAAAAAGCTCCACTCTCCCCCCGCCCACCCAACAAACCCCCCCTCTTTGCTCCAGGGGCGATAGGATGAGAAATTCTCTATTATTTATAATGGGGCTGCAGCTACTCCTTTTTTCCCTTTTAAATAGCAGGTGCCATCAGTAAACTTCTCAGCGGCGAGCATATTTTACTGTCAACAGTTTCACGTTTCCACACGTGCTTCATTAATCGGGGTTTAATTGCTGTTAACGCTCTTTTTTGCGACATAGAAAACACGGACATCTTGAGTTAAGGATGCCGTGTTGAAATGCGCATGTCTAATCTTTTTTGCGTGGCTGACGAGTTGCGGTTTTTACTTGATTCTGATTGGTCAGTAGCTGCATTTTTGCTTTCAAATATTTTTTGTGTAACGCTGGGGAAACTATATACTGGCAACCACATTTCTGTATAGCTGTACTAGTTTCCTGTCTCTTTCTTCTCATTTAACAATATAATTTGAACTTAAATCATATTAAATATCCATTTATTTATTTAATAAGTAATAAGTGGGATAAGATGGTCATTATTGCAAAATAAACCTATTTTTCTTGTTTTATTAGGTCCCGAATATCTTGTTTATTTATTTGTTTGTTTGTTTGTTGTTATTATTATTAAGACCATTATTATTATTATTATTACACTACCATGCAGAAGTTCAGGGGCAGTAAGATTTTGAAAGAAATTAATACTTTTATTCAGAAAATATGTAAATTTAATTAATTTCATTTAAATTTAATTACGTTCAATTTATCAAAAGTGACAGTAAAGATTTTTATGTTACAAAAAAATGCATATTTCAACTAAATGCTGTTCTTTTGAACTTTCTATTCATCAAAGAAACCTGAAAAAATGTATCACAGTTTCCACAAAAATATTAAGCAGCACAACTGTTTTCAGCATTGATAATAAGTAATGTGTCTTGAGCACCAAATCAGTATATTAGAATGATTTCTGAAGGATCATGTGACACTGAAGGCTGCAGTAATGATGCTAAAAATTCAACTTTGATCACTGGGATAATTTACACTTAAGTTATTAAAAAGTTATTTTATGTTCTAATAATATTTCATATTATTGTACTGTATTTTTTATTTAAATAAATTCAGTATTAGTGTAATCTTTTACGTGTTTGACCAGACCTTCCTCTAAATTTCAGATCATTTTTTCGCTTACACAGGCCTCCAATTTACGTCAAGGAGGAGCCACTAAACATGGACGACGAGGACTGTCCGATGTCATTGGTGACCACAGCCAATCACAGTCCTGAGCTAGATGATGACCGGGAGCTTGAGGAGGGCAACCTATCGGAGGATCTGGAATGACTATTTTGCCCCACCCCTCCGCCGGGGCTCTGCCCCTTTCAGGCCCCGCCCCTCAACTAATCCACAACCACCACGAACGCAAAAAGACTGGAAGCAGCAGGCGGGAGTATTTATTTAGCATGCATCTGGAGACTGGCCCAAATAAAATCGATAGCGCAGATCTTTAGGGACCACAGATGGACAGACATGAGACGTCTGCTGTTTAAAAACAAACATAAAAGGAAGAACAAAAGGACAAGATTTCATTGGAAGCAGCTCGGCCACCTCACACAACGAACACGAGGCTCACGGACTGAAAAAAGACAGAAGTGAAACGGGAGTGAGTCCGTTTTGTAGAAAGCCAACGGCCACATATACTGCCAAAAAAAGAAGTTTTAAGTTTGTGAATATCCAAGCCACATTAGTCGTCGGTGTTAGATGCAATTGCTGGTTCAATTCAAGTTGTTGCTCTGTTATTTTTTGCACATGAGTAGTATCAAAAATTAGTGTCACTGAAACTATGAAAAAAGAACTTAAGTAATGAACAGAAAATGAAGACAAAAGGGCCTTTCGCACCGCAGGAACCTCATAGTACCAGAACTAATTGTGGAACTACCCACTTTTTGGCGTTTTCCGCAGCAGACTTCTACCCGACAGTCAAAGCGGCATTATGTCACGAAAGTGCAGACTCAGAGGAAGACCGCGAGGGTTTAGGGTGCCATTTGGGACAGGGCCCTTTTTTTTTTTCTGTTGTTGAACACCGCTCACAAATGACGTCGCTGTCGACCGGCTAACGTCACTTCCTAGTACACACTGTCGGTGCGAATGAAACCCTTTAAATGGCACTGGGAAATAGTTCGCGCAAAATCGTCCCGGTACTTTAGTACTGTACATTTAGTTCTGGAACTAAAGCGGTGCGAAAGGCCCTAAATTAAAATCACAAAAACTTCTGCAATCGCAGGTGAATATACCAACAAGAGCAAGGCATGATGGGATATTCTCACCCAAAATTACATCGTTTGAAGACTAAAACTTGATCATTTGTTGCTACTTAATATCCTTAAGTGTATATCAGTTTATTATTGTGTGATAAATGTGGCGGGCAGAAAGTTACACTATTTTATTATGGCAAAATAGATGTCTGTTAATATTTTAGCATCATTATTATGTCTAAAACTACTAGAAGGAACTTTAGTAATGAGCAGTGACAGTCAAAAACGTCTTTTATAGCACCATTTTGTTACAATGACAAAATAGATGATTGTGAACATTATACCAATGTTTTATGGCTAATATGCCAGTTAAATGATGAGAACGAAAGGAAATTACAATAACGAATTCCATAAATTATGAAAATTATATGAAAGTATTTCAAATTATTACAAAGAAAAAAGAACTAGTAATGGCCGATGGACATGCCAACAAGAGCATATCTTTACTTAAGATTACACTGTCTGACGACCAGACACCATTGTGCTTGAATTAATTGCTTTAATAAAGGAAGGAGGACTTTTTAATTCGCATTCGCAGGTATTTCTTGAGGGTATGAAATATATCATTGTGGTGGTCTGGTGTAGTTGCCCCCTTTCTCTCCAGCGCACATAGCCGAGAATAGGAGACAGAAACATCCTGGCGCTTCCACATCTGAATATTAATCTATTTTGCTATAAATATTAAAGTAATCTGTACCTTTTAAAATTCTTTTCATATTCAAAGTTCCCCGTGCCATTGATGAGCGCGACCCAGGAGAGAGCAGCCAGACACGGCCTAATACAGAGACTAGTTGATAAGGATTCCTCTCGTTCTCTTTCTCTCTCTCTCCAGTCCAGCGGGATTTCCTGATGCATCCGACGTGTCAGAAATAATTAGGTTTTGTCAGATTTATCATGGGTAGCACAAACCTCTCTCCCTGCCAAGGGCTCGAGATCATGTTAAGCCTTGTTTGTGTATGACAGAGTTATTATTCTTGTTAGTAACCCTACTTCCGCCCTCGTTTCGGCATCTCGCTGCTCCTCGCCAAACCGCTCCGAGTTTTTTCACCATTTTTTTACCCTCCTCCCTACATTTATTGACAGTCGGTAAAGATATTCATCCATTTGGAGTTAAAAACATGGATCATGGTGTCCGAGGCAACTGGCAGTCTGAAGTTGATTAATGGTGGAGTCTAGCTGCAGGTTGTCTCCTCACTTGAGAAGTGCCACCACGGCCCCTGCATATTAACGAAGGCCTGCACTTTCTATTAACAAGATAAAAAAAAAAAAGCTCCACTCTCCCCCCGCCCACCCAACAAACCCCCCCTCTTTGCTCCAGGGGCGATAGGATGAGAAATTCTCTATTATTTATAATGGGGCTGCAGCTACTCCTTTTTTCCCTTTTAAATAGCAGGTGCCATCAGTAAACTTCTCAGCGGCGAGCATATTTTACTGTCAACAGTTTCACGTTTCCACACGTGCTTCATTAATCGGGGTTTAATTGCTGTTAACGCTTTTTTTTGCGACATAGAAAACACGGACATCTTGAGTTAAGGATGCCGTGTTGAAATGCGCATGTCTAATCTTTTTTGCGTGGCTGACGAGTTGCGGTTTTTACTTGATTCTGATTGGTCAGTAGCTGCATTTTTGCTTTCAAATATTTTTTGTGTAACGCTGGGGAAACTATATACTGGCAACCACATTTCTGTATAGCTGTACTAGTTTCCTGTCTCTTTCTTCTCATTTAACAATATAATTTGAACTTAAATCATATTAAATATCCATTTATTTATTTAATAAGTAATAAGTGGGATAAGATGGTCATTATTGCAAAATAAACCTATTTTTCTTGTTTTATTAGGTCCCGAATATCTTGTTTATTTATTTGTTTGTTTGTTTGTTGTTATTATTATTAAGACCATTATTATTATTATTATTACACTACCATGCAGAAGTTCAGGGGCAGTAAGATTTTGAAAGAAATTAATACTTTTATTCAGAAAATATGTAAATTTAATTAATTTCATTTAAATTTAATTACGTTCAATTTATCAAAAGTGACAGTAAAGATTTTTATGTTACAAAAAAATGCATATTTCAACTAAATGCTGTTCTTTTGAACTTTCTATTCATCAAAGAAACCTGAAAAAATGTATCACAGTTTCCACAAAAATATTAAGCAGCACAACTGTTTTCAGCATTGATAATAAGTAATGTGTCTTGAGCACCAAATCAGTATATTAGAATGATTTCTGAAGGATCATGTGACACTGAAGGCTGCAGTAATGATGCTAAAAATTCAACTTTGATCACTGGGATAATTTACACTTAAGTTATTAAAAAGTTATTTTATGTTCTAATAATATTTCATATTATTGTACTGTATTTTTTATTTAAATAAATTCAGTATTAGTGTAATCTTTTACGTGTTTGACCAGACCTTCCTCTAAATTTCAGATCATTTTTTCGCTTACACAGGCCTCCAATTTACGTCAAGGAGGAGCCACTAAACATGGACGACGAGGACTGTCCGATGTCATTGGTGACCACAGCCAATCACAGTCCTGAGCTAGATGATGACCGGGAGCTTGAGGAGGGCAACCTATCGGAGGATCTGGAATGACTATTTTGCCCCACCCCTCCGCCGGGGCTCTGCCCCTTTCAGGCCCTGCCCCTCAACTAATCCACAACCACCACGAACGCAAAAAGACTGGAAGCAGCAGGCGGGAGTATTTATTTAGCATGCATCTGGAGACTGGCCCAAATAAAATCGATAGCGCAGATCTTTAGGGACCACAGATGGACAGACATGAGACGTCTGCTGTTTAAAAACAAACATAAAAGGAAGAACAAAAGGACAAGATTTCATTGGAAGCAGCTCGGCCACCTCACACAACGAACACGAGGCTCACGGACTGAAAAAAGACAGAAGTGAAACGGGAGTGAGTCCGTTTTGTAGAAAGCCAACGGCCACATATACTGCCAAAAAAAGAAGTTTTAAGTTTGTGAATATCCAAGCCACATTAGTCGTCGGTGTTAGATGCAATTGCTGGTTCAATTCAAGTTGTTGCTCTGTTATTTTTTGCACATGAGTAGTATCAAAAATTAGTGTCACTGCCTGTATGTCGACAAAAATTTAAAAAGGAAAAAAAGCTGTTTTTCGTTGTTGTTGTTGTTAATTTGTTTTTGCCCCCCCACCCCACCCTAAATTGTCGTTTCGTTCTTCCCGCGACGTAGCTTACGTTAATTTCGAGTCATGTTTGCGGCACCACCAACTGTAAATGGCATTTCTTAAAATCACATCAGTAACACAACCAAGGTATCAAGACTGTTGCAGCCGTCCAAAAAAAGTACACAAAGTAGGTCTCAAGTCTCACTAGCTCCGTTTCTGCTGAAAACGTGAAATGTGATTCAGTCGCAACTGCTGAGAGGAAAAACACGAAAGAAAAAGATGCGTTTCTGCATATTCTTCTAGTCTCTTTACCTCCTTGTTCTAAAGCTTTGTCTACCTGCAAAGAGTCACAGATAACAGCTAGAAACCAAAGCCAACACTATCAACGGCCAATAGCTTAGACAGAAGCCACCAGCCTCTTTGGTCAGTCTTCTGTGACTTTAACTAGTACAAAGAGAAGATTTTTTTCCACTACCTTCGAATAACCTCTGGGATTGTCTCCTTTAGCCCTGTACAAAGAGAAAATTATTTTGATGTAATTTGATCGACAGACGGAGCGCTCGCTCTGGCCTCGTGATGTCGGGCGACCCCAGATAAAACGGGAAGACCTCGATTCAGCGACCGTCATGTGGTCCGGGTAGAGCGAGAGAGCAGCTATAAATGGATCATGACCAAAACAACCATTTGTGGAAGTGCAGAAAACGTTACTTCTGTATTTCTTCTTTTTTTTTTTTGCTATTATGATTTGCGTAAGCCATCTTGTCATCGTTTTTACTAGTGAAATGTACTGTTCATTGTGACTGTCCAACGTGTCATGTCTTATATCCGTCAGTTTCTTCAGAGCCGAAAAACCGAAAATATAGTAACCAAACTTTAAGATATCTAGTTAAGCCAAAAAAGTCATGATTTCAAGTCGATATGAAATGATGTGGCTTGGTTATATTGTAAAAGCAAACAACAGAGCCATGACAGGAAGAGGACGAATCCTTTTCCAGCTGAGGTTTGCTTTGCTCCATTGATTCAGACTCATTGTATAATTCATGGCTATATAGACACAGCTCGTGTTGGATCATGGGTTAGACCATGTATGGTGTATAAGTAGCAACCATTTATTTGAGGTGAAACGCTTTGATTTGAATGTTGCTGATGTCATCGAGGAAAAGCGGTTGTTGCTTTAAAGTTTGCTTCTGTTTTCAGTCAAACCAAAGTTATACAGACTTCTGCCTCTTCTTATACAGCGGATGGAGATGAAAATAACGCAAAGCCTGTTTCCTTTTCTTCTCTCTCTCTCTTTCTTTGATTGTTCTCTAATGCAGAAAACCCATTTGAAACGGATAACTGCT